CAGAAGTGAAGCATATTTTTTAAAATGATGACAGAATCTACAAATGAAAGATCATTTAAAAACTTAATAAAAGAACTTAGAGTATAGCAATATTAGTTACATATCTTACACATAGGACAAATTCACTAAATATCAAATTCAAGTCTTAATGAACCTGCAAGGCTTACATTGAACTGAATGTTTCAGATCTGAGCATTGGTTCCAGCATTGCCAATAATTTTGTGATGTAACACTTCAACCTTTGATAGTTTAAGGCCTTTCCTAGCTTTAAATATCTGATACGCAAGTGAAAATTTGCATATGTTAGCCTTGTCTTTGGGCCTCAGTTTTGTTATCTGTAAAATGGGAAATGCTGACCTAATCAAACCGTTTTAATTGAACTTTATACAATGGATGTTCAAAGACACATTAATTCTGCAAAAAAGTCTTAGGGGTAGGGATGGGAGTGGGAAGAACTTCCTTGGGGAAAGCTGCACACTACATAGCCTGCTCACTTCAATATGAACAAAGCATGGTACCATATTAAATATTCTGGGAAGTAAACAAACCAGTTTAACTTGATTTTAACCTGTGCTTCCCAAACGTATTTGGACATGGAATAGTTTTCTCAGATAACATGATTTTGGTATCCCATGAAACGAATTTTCTGAGACACACTGTGGACTGCTAACATGAATATTCTTAGGTACTAGGGTTAGTATAGGCAAAAGCAAAAGTACAGTCTTATGAGCTGTTCTCTACTGGTTTTTGTGCCTGTTGTCACTTGCAGCTTCAGTCAACGGAGACTTTAAAACATTATGTTTCTTAATTACAGTCATTGGTTGTCAAGTCTCCAAGATAATAAGTTAAATTTCTCTGCCTCTCAGGTTACAGTTGGCCTCTTTTTCTTCCTAATAAAAACATGGAATCTGGCAATCAATCACTTAAGATACAAAATATCAATTCAAACCAGGCAAAAGTATTAAAGTTCTGAAGTCAAGGATCTATTTGAAAACATATCAAATTAGGTCAGGTTAATACCTGCAGAATATATCTGCCAAGGTGAAGCTTATGTCATGATTTCTCTCTAATTCTAGTTCTGGCACTTGATCATTAAGTAACCTGGGATAAATTAATTTCGTAAGGCTGAACAGAGACTAAAGGATCTTATTTCAAAATGATCTTTTTCTTTTTTAACCCTTAACATCTATGCTAAACATTTAAGAAATTTGGTTATTTTTGTGTTTTCTTCAGAGTAGGTCACAGATATTATATTTTGCATTTATTGCAGCATTTATTTTCCTCCAAAATAATTTATACATGCACTTTGAACAATTTGCAATTATTTCAAGGCAGGTGACAATAACTTTCTTTTATTGTGAAGTAAAACACACACAGTAGGCCGAGCACGGTGGCTCATGCCTGTAATCCCAGCACTGTGGGAGGCCGAGGCAAGTGGATCACCTGAGGTCGGGAGTTCGGGATCAGCCTGACCAACATGGAGAAACCCTGTCTCTACCGAAAATACAAACTTAGCCGGGCGGGTGGTGCATGCCTGTAATCTCAGCTACTTGGGAGGCTGAAGCAGGGGAATCTCTTCAACATGGGAGGCGGAGGTTGCGGTGAGCCGACATCGCGCCATTGCACTCCAGCCTGGACAACAAGAGTGAAACTCTGTCTCAAAAAAAATACATAAACAAACATACACAGTAGAAAATATATGTGTATTATAAAGAACAAAAATAGGCCGGGCCTGGTCACGCCTGTAATCCCAGCACTTTGGGAGGCTGAGGCAGGTGGATCATCTAAGGTCAGGAGTTCGAGACCAGCCTTGCCAACATGGTATAAACCTCATCTCTACTAAAAATACAAAAATTAGCTGGGCATGGTGGCAGGCACCTGTAATCCCAGCTACTCAGTATGTTGAGAGAGGACGATTGCTTGAACCTGGGAGGCGGATGTTGCAGTGAGCTGAGACTGGGTCATTGCACTCCAGCGTGGGCGGCGAGAACAAAACTCCATCTTAAAAACAACAACAACAAAATTAATATTTGTAACCCAGGTCAAAAAATATTTTTGAAACATTTGTTCAATGTCCCTTTAGAGAGGTTGAGTGCTGCATGGAGAAAGGGCAAAGGTGGGCCATGAGTTGCAAGACCCCTTTTGCAAATCCCACTCAGCAAGACATATGCTAAAGCAACCTGATCTTCTTGGAGGATATTTTTTGAGTAAAATCCTTGTGAGGAGGTCATGTGTACTACCACACCCAGAACTTTCCCTTGAACGAGACTTGTTAAATACAATATTCTCCATCTTGCTAGATTTCCAGTGATGTTTTAACAGCTCTCATACCCTAGGTTGCTCTTCAATCTACCTTCCTTCTCTTGGAGAAGGCTGTCCACATACACAAAGTCTCTCCTAGCCGAGTGTGGTGGTTCACGCCTGTAATCCCAGTGCTTTGGGAAGCCCAGGAGGGAGGATCATTTGAGGCCAGGAGTTCAAGACCAGCCTGAGCAATGTGGTGAGACACCCATCTCTACAACAAATTAAAAAATTAGCTGGGCATGGTGGCCAGAGCCTTAGTCCTAGCTACTCAGGAGGCTGACAGGGGAGGATCCCTTGAGCCCAGGGATTCAAGGTTACAGTGAGCTATGATTGTGCCACCATACTCAAGCCTGGGCAACAGAGGGAGACCCTGTCTCCAAAACAAACAAAAAACAGTCTCTCCTATTAGATCAGCGAATCTCTTAGCGTCATGAGGCATCATGTCTTCCCCACAACAGACTATAATATTACTAAGAATGGGAACTTTTTTTATTTGATAAGGTCTCACTCTGTTGTCCAGGCTGGAGCACAGTGGTGTGATCACAACTCACTGCAGCCTTGAATTCCTGGGCTCAAGGAATCCTCCTACCTTAGCTTCCTGGGCAGCTGGGACAACATGCACAAGCCACCTCAGCTAGCTAACTTATTTTTATTTTTTGTAGAGACAGGGTCTCCCTGTGTTGCCCAGGGTAATCTCAAACCCCTGGGCTCAAGTGATCCACCTCAGCCTCTCAAAGTTTTGGGATTACAGACGTGAGCCACCGAACCTGGCCAACAATGGGGACTTCATTTTCCATCCAAAAAACTTGTATTGGCTTTGCAGCAGCAAGAGGCCCTATAATGAAGGCCTTTCCTGAACTGAGTGACTTTTGGTGAGTGAAACCAGTCTTTGTGGAATAGGATGCAAGGCTCGCATCCCATACCTCATGATGAAGTTCTCCATTTACCAGGGTCATATCATCCTGTTCCTACTCTGTATGGGAAGGAAGGGGAATTGTGGAATAATTAGTCACTTGTTCTTTTCTTTTCCTAAACCACTTTGTACTTTTCTGCTTCAACACTATGTTATTATAGTCATTTAATAACTTAAATTTGCTTGTAGAGATGGGGGATCTTGTTATGTTGCCCAGGCTGGTCTCAAACTCCTGGGCTCAAGCAGTCCTCCCACCCTGGCCTCTCAAAATGTTGGGATTACAGGCATGAGCCGCTGCAACTGGCCTATTTAATAACTTTATCCTCTTTTGTAACTGGATACTCTCCTTGGGGTAATGATATTGTTTTATTCTTCTTTGTAAATGACTGAATACCTAGAACAATACCCACTATCAAGTAAGTGCCAGTTTAGTGAATGAAAAGAAAGCAGACATTTGGATAATTTGCTTCTATTTGAACTTTTGAATGAAGACGCAATAGTAAGGAATATACAGTCCAGTGCCCTACCTAGCTGGATTAGTTAAGTCTTCTGCTTATCCAGATCAGTAAATTATATGGTTGGAGTAGATGAGACACTATTAACCAGAGGTCATTGGACTCCAGGGGATTTTTGAGCCCTTACCTCAAGCAAAGTTAAAAACCACAAGGATCAGATGGCTTGGCAAACCTCTACTATACTACTCAGTCATTGGAGTAGGATACCCTGTCATTGCAATAACATATGTGGAAACCAAAATGACATGTGCCTGTGGTGTCTAGCTATACACTAACACACACTCTCCAGCTTGTTGGTGCTTTTTCAGAGCCCCTTTGCTTGGCCCCAAAAGGTAAGATGGGAACAGATTCTAATAAATATATATATATATTTTTTGAGATGGAGGGTGGAGTGCAGTGGTGCAATCCTGGCTCACTGCAACCTCCGCCTCCTGAGTTCAGGTGATTCTCCTGCCTCAGCCTCCCGACTAGCTGAGATTACAGGCGTGTGCCACCACATCCGGCTAATTTTTGTATTTTTAGTAGAGACGGGTTTCACTATATTAGCCAGGCTGGTCTCGAACTCCTGACCTCAAGTGATCCGCCCGCCTCGGCCTACCAAAGTGCTGGGATTACAGACTTGAGCCACCGCGCCCAGCCCGATTCTAATGAATCTTTTCAATGCTGATTGTCTAAATCCCTCTGGCCCCTCTTAATAGACCCCGACCAGTCGACAGTGAAGTGAGTGCTTCATGCACGCAGAAAGGTGCACAAATACTAGTTAGTTCCAGCACCAGGGAGGTTGGGAGTCTGGCGTCGAAGACAGAGTATTTAACAGAAAAGAGTCCAAGGGCTGCGGGACCGACCAACATTGCGTAGAGGGGCTATGCTGACAGCTGGGTAGATTAGAAACCCGACTGACGAGGAACTGACTTGGGGAGCGTGCCGGGCGAACATCGCCAGGGCAGAGAACCCCCATCAGCTCCCGAGGTCATTCTTCCCGCGCCCCCACCGGCCTCTGCGCACTCTCCGGAGGCAGAGCGACCGCTCTGCCCGGAGGCCCCAGCGTTTCCCGCCATTGGAGACTCTGAAATTGCCTTTTGGAACAAAACTTGGGTCGGAAAGGAGGCGAAGGGAAAGCTGTGTGAAGTCCTCGATGCGGAAGAGTGAGCGGTGCCGTAGGGGGTAGCCCGAGTGGAAGCTTCCCGACCTGGACATTGAGCAAAAGCCGAGCGCTCGACTCCCCTCGCTGCGCCTGCGTTCGGCCACCTCCGGGAGAGTTTCGGCTCTTTCCGTCAGTTCAGCTCGGGCCCTCTATTCCCGGCGCTCGTCGGGCCCCTACCCGATGCCGCCGGGTACGAGCTGTTCTGCACGCGGACGCGAGCTCGAGTCCCACCCGTTTTCCCTTTGCATCTAGTTTGTCCCCGACCCCCTCCCAGAGTCTCTTCCCTTCCGCGGTAATTCCCAGTCTCCGGTGGCGCGCGAGCCTGCGGACGGTGCGAGACGCGAGGGACCGGGTCCCGAGAAGAGCGGTAACCCGACCGGTCGGAGCCCGCTTCTCGCCGCCGCGCGCCTCTCCTCGATCCCCTCGGTCTCCGGTGCGCGGGCCGTCTCGCAACTCCAGCTGCGCTCGCGCACCCGTTGGCTGCCACAGCCTCGAGCTTGGCGCGCCGGGTTCGCGCCGGCGCGAGTACGCGCCCTGAGCTCTGGCTGGCTGGCTGGCGCGCACGCGCCCGAGAGGGCTCCGGGGCGGGGCGAGCCGCTGCCCCGGCAAGGATCGAGGTGATCTGCTGGAGCTCCGGCCGCAGCCTTGATTCCCGGCCTGCGGAACGGCCCTGGAGAGAAGCGGGGAGGCGGTGGTGGGGGCGGGGCGGCGTCCGGCTCTGAGAGAACTGGGGGAGGAGCGCGGCGGCGACGGCGGCGGCGGCGGCGGCTCTAGAGGGAGAGGTGAAGGAGGGGGAGGATCTCTTTTCCTCTTCTCAGACCCGGGAGCGTCTGGGACGCGGAGCCCGGAGCTGGGGCGACAAGGCGATTGCGTGGGCCCCGGCTAGGTGAGACTGGGGGTGCTGGGTGGCGGGGTTGGCGGGGGCTCAGAGGGGCGCCGAGGTGCGGGGAGCGGGTTGAAGGAGGAAAAGGGGGGAGGGGGTAGTTGTTGGGGCCGGGGGACGGGAAGGAGGGGAATGTGAGCCCTTAGAGATCCGAAGTGCCCAGAAGGTGGAAGGTTCCTGGGGTATGTGGGGCGGCCGAGACACCCGTGTCCGAGTTGGGGAGTTTCCAGAGGGATAGGCCGGGGAAACAATGGAGTGTGTGGGGGGGGGGGACTCTGGCGTGAGCGTGTGTGGGGTATTGGATTTTAAGAAACAACGAGCGAGATAGAAAAGAATGAAAGAATAGGATCATTTGGGATGAGAAGTACAATGAATTGGGAATGCAGTGGGGATGCGTAAGGTCACCTCCGTGGGTGTCCGAGGTCCTTAGGATTCGGGGGCAATAATGAGATTTGAAAATAAGGGATAGAAGGGCGTTCTTGGAATTGAAGGGAGAGACGGAATGGAAAATAAGGCGGAGAGGCAGAGACATAAAATAGATGGGGTTAGGACTTGGATTAAAACAGAAAGGTAGATTCAGTCAGTTTTGGACTAGAGTGATATTTTTCTCATAATTCATCCAGAATGATTGGGTTCTTTTAGAAAGTGGATCTTTCTCAAGCTTGTCCTCTGCTAAGAAGTACAAACCGTTCTTTAAATAATTTGATTATCACTTGTCCATTTTATTGATAAAACATGCCTGTGATAGTTACTTCCCCTCTGTTTAGCAGGCTACTACTGTAAGTAATTTACCTATGGTTGATGAAGCAGGAGAGGACAGATCACCAAAAATATCTTGCTTTGAGTTAGGTCAGTGATAATGCAGAGTTCAGTGTTTTGGAGAGAACCAAAAGCTTGCTTGTTTTCAGTTTGACCAAAAGGCGATGGATAAAATTAAGTTATCTGTACTTTGTTAGAATTGCAATTTCTCCCTGAGAAATGTTCATGTACCATCTGCTACTGGTTTTATGTTTGCGGGAGAGAGTTGGGGTTCTGCCTTAAATTATTTCTTGATGTTAACTTCAGATAATCAGGCTGCCTCATACCTTCCAGTTTCAATTAAGGTGATTTGGGAATATTGTGGAAAAGTATCTCTGGGATTATGATCTTTGCATTTCCTTAATACTTGGATTTCCAGACCAAATTTGTGATGGTACTAGATAGAAAATTGCTGATTTTGAAATTGTAATGACTGTTGTGTGCTCATAAATAGTCCATGTTAAGCCTTTTATTTGTTGGGCATTACATTTTGCTGACTCATCTAAGATTTTTGGACATTCATCAGTTTATATTTCTCAGCTAGGTCTTGGATGGTAGCATTTAGGTTACTTTATAAAGGTCAAAAATATGATTTAAATTGTCACTTTTCTTAGATGTTATGAAAATTGAACAAAGCAAGAAGTGAGTGCAGTGTTCTCATTAGTGACAAAGTGCCTCTTTTTTTTTTTTTTTTGAGATGGAGTCTTGCTCTGTTGCCCAGGCTAGAGTGCAGTGGCGTGATCTTGGCTCACTGCAACCTCTTTCTCCTGGGTTCAAGCGACCCCAGCCTCCTGAGTAGCTGGGATTACAGGTGCCCACCACCGCGCCTGGCTAATTTTTGTATTCTTAGTAGAGACAGGGTTTCACCATCTTGGCCAGGCTGGTCTCGAACTTCTGACCTTGTGATCCATCTGCCTTGGCCTCCCAAAGTGTTGGGATTACAGGTGTGAGCTGCTGCGCCCGGCCTCTTTTTTAACTGACCTCTTTCAGTGGGCTACTCAAGGTGCTAAGATTTTTTTGTATGTATTTTCTCATTTAATCCTCACAATTATTTCGTATTTTGTAAATTAAGAGATTAAATAATTTACTGAGGTCACAGAGCTAGTAAATAACAAAGCTTGATTCAGACCTAGGTGTATCGGATGCCTTTTTGAAAATCTTCACTGCCTGCTTGCTCTTTCTGCTTCACCCCCATCTTGGTTATAGTAAAGCAGCATGAACTGGTTGAAACTTGGGTCTGATAACTGTGATTTAGATGAAGATTAAGTTAGTAGGCTGTAGCCTACTCTGTAGAGTTCATTGAAAGTTTACTGCTCCTGTGATTTAACAAAGCTCTGAGATCCTGATAAATAGGGTTAAAAACATCTTTTTGCTAAGGATTTGTCTTGCGACCACACTTAGTTTTCTGTTTAGTCTTGTACTGCTGAGGTACTGTGCATACGTGGCACTCTTACTTGTAGAAGTCAAGACAGCCAGTTGTGGAGCCAAAACCAATTAACTCTGAAAAGCAATTGAAAACTGCTCAGTACTCAGGTGCCCTCCAAACACCTGTTGAGCCCACAATTGGTACTAGCATTACCTCTAAATATAGATATGATCCTCTTAGAAACCAGGAGTGAAACAGCTAGAACTGAGGGAAACAGCTGGGGCCTGAGGGAGGAGCCACAGGTTATAGCCAAAACATGAGCATAGCCCCTGGAGGCTAATCAGGCTAAGACAGGAGGGAATTTTCATTTGTTGAGCATTTATGTATTCAGACACTGAACTCAGTGTACATTTTTACCTTATCAGTTAGTTGTATTATCCTCATTTTTCAGATGAGGCTCAGAAGGACTAAAAGTAACTTACACAAAGTCACTTCATAATGGCAGTGAAGAAAGTTTGTGTATACTATTCTAAAAATTGCTGCTTTCAGTTTTCCATTGTAGGGTCACCATATTAAAGCTGGGAACTAAAAGTCAGTCTTTCAGATCTACCTGGCTTCTCTTATGTGTGTAACTGATTATTTCAGTCTTGCTGCTTTCATTGGAAACTGGAAGGAAAAGCTTGTATTTTTTGGATGTAATTGTTAGGAAGTACACAGTCCATTCATTATATTACCAAATGACCTGTAGAATATAATTCAGCTTCCTCAGTTGCTTAGTGTATATCTGCAGCAACATGAAAATAGCATGTCCATCCCTTCTCTTCTGGGATCTTCACTTTCAACAAAGTCATCTAGACTCTGGAGGATGACAGTGAAGCTTGCCTGTTAAAATTCTTCCACTTTTCTCAATATGTTTTTGCCACAAATGTTTGATGGTTGTTCTTGGTTATTTATTTATTTATTTTTTAGAGACGGGATCTCGCTATGTTGCCCAGTTTTGCCTCAAACTCCTGGGCTTAAATGATCTTCCCGCCTCAGATTCCAGAGTAGCTGGTATTTGCTAGTTTGTTTACTCCCCCAATCCCCCTCCCACCTGCCCAGAAAGGATCTCACTCTGTCACCCAGGCTGGAGTGCAGTGGTACAATCATGGCTCACTGTTTGACCACGCCCAGCTAACTTTTGTATTTTTTTGTAGAGTCAGGGTTTCGCTGTGTTGCCCAGGCTGGTCCCCAACTCCTGGGCTCAAGCAATCCACCCTCCTTGGCCTCCCAAAGTGTTGGGATTATAGCATGAGCCACCTCACCTGGCCTTTTTGTTTACTTAAAAAAAATTGTGGTGAACTATACATAGCAAAACATTTATCATTTTAACCATTTTTTTTTTTTTTTTTTTTTTTGAGACGGAGTCTTGCTCTGTCGCCCAGGCTGGAGTGCAGTGGCCGGATCTCAGCTCACTGCAAGCTCCGCCTCCCGGGTTTACGCCATTCTCCTGCCTCAGCCTCCCCAGTAGCTGGGACTACAGGCGCTTGCCACCTCACCCGGCTAGTTTTTTGTATTTTTTAGTAGAGACGGGGTTTCACCGTGTTAGCCAAGATGGTCTCGATCTCCTGACCTCGTGATCCGCCCGTCTCGGCCTCCCAAAGTGCTGGGATTATAGGGTTGAGCCACCGCGCCCGGCCCATTTTAACCATTTTTAAGTGTATGGATCAGCAGCATTAAGTACATTCGCATTGCTGTGCAACCATCACCACCATCCATCTTGGGAACTTTTTTATTTTCCCAGACTGAAGCTCTGCACCTATTAGGCAATAACTCCTTGTTTCTCTTTCTCTACCCAGCTGCTGGCCACCGATATTCTACTTTCTGTCTCTATGAATGTGACTACCCTGGGTACCTCATATGTAAGTGGAATCATACAATATTTACTTTTTTATGTCTGGTGTGTACCACTTAGCATATCTTCAGAATTCATCCATGTTGTAGCATATGTCAGAATCTCATTCCTTTTTAAGGCTGAATAATATTCCATCGTATGTACACACCACATTTTGTTTATCCATTCATTCTCAATGGACATTTGGGTTGCTTCTACCTTTTGGCTGTTGTGAATAATGGTGCTGTGAATTTTGGTGTATGAATCCACTTGTTCGAGTCCCTCTGTATTGGTCCATTCTCACATTGCTGTAAAAAAATACCTGAGACTGGGTAATTTATAAAGAAAAGAGGTTGAATTGGCTCATGGTTCTGTGGGCTGTACAGGAAACATAGCAGCTTCTGGGGAGGCCTCAGGAAACTTATGATCATGGCAGGAGGCAAAGGGAAAGCAGGCATGTCTAGGTGGCTGGAGCAGGAGGAAGAGAGAGAGGTGGGGGAAGTGCTACACACATTTAAACAACTAGATCTTGTGAAAACAACCCTAGGGGGCTGGCACTAACCCATTCATGAGAAACCACCCCAATGTTCCAGTCACCTCCCACCAGGCCCCACCTTCAACACTGGGGTTACAGTTTGACATGAGATTTGGTGGGGACACAGATCCAAACTATATCACCCTCCTTTCATTTTTTTTTTTTCTTCGATTTACACAGAAGTAGAATTGCTGGATCCTATGGTAATTCTATGTTTAGTTTTTTGAGTAGGCTTGGTTACTTTTATTTTTTATTTTTATTTATTTTATTTTTCCTTATTTGCTTTATAACATGTTTGGGTAAATTTATTTCAAAAATATCGTTTTCTGGAGATATTTTCTCAGGTCCATATTTTGACTCCGAATCTGAATACCATCTGCTTGTTTCTTTCCTTACAACAATCTAGGGCTCTTTCTCTTGCTCTAGTAACGTAATCACATCTGGCTTAGAAATGGAACTTCCCAGTGAGATCAGGTGGCTGTAGTTCTCCAACATCACATTCCTGTACAAGGTCCTCTGATCAGGCTGCAGACACTCCCACTCCTCCTGAGAGAAGTCAGTGGCCACATCCCTGAATGTCACTGATCCATGGACCATGTTTCTAGAATTACAAAATTTGGTCAATCTTCCTCTGGGTTCTTCTCCTTGACTTAAGCGTGCAGCAATAACACTCTCATCCTCCTGGTCCTTCTTTTGGATAATGGTACGACCAGCTATGTTGTCAACCCCCGGAGGCCGGAAGTGGAACCGTTGTATTTTTTATTTATTTTTTTGGAGACAGTCTTGTTCTGTCACCCAGGCTGGAGTGCAGTGGCACGATCTCAGTTCACTGCAACCTCTACCTCCTGGGTTTAAGCGATTTTCCTGTCTCAGCCTCCAAGTAGCTGAGACTACAGGCATGCACCACCACACCTGGCTAATTTTTGTAGTTTTAGTAGAGATGAAGTTTCGCCATTTTGACCAGGCTGATTCCGAACTCCTGGTCTCTAGTGATCCACCCGCCTCAGCCACTCAAAGTGCTGAGATTACATGTGTGAACCACTGTGGCCTGCTGAGGCTTGGTTACTTTTAAGTGGTGATTTTATCATAGGCTACCTGAAGGTAGCACTTGATGGTGCTTTCTCTATTGACTTTTTCTTAATTGCTAGCAGGACACTTAGGGTGGAAATGATTCAAAAGGAAATGTTTTACCCAGTTTTCTTGTATCCAGTGTGGAAGGAACCATTTGTTACATACAGTTCTTTCCAGTCATGTGCAAATATGGATGATCGTCTTAAGAATGCTGTATATGTTATCTGTCAAGATTTTTAGTACACTTTGCTGCCTTTGATTGAAATTTAGGGTACTTTTTTCATTTAAACATGTTTTACATGTATGAGCTGCTGCTTACTGCTTACCTTCTGTATCTTTCCGCATTCGATGAAAAAAAAATTTAGTGTCTGCTGTATGCTTTAAATATCAAGCAGATACCTGGAATACATAGAATAGAAAGTAAAATTGTTCGAAGTCATTTGGCTCCATTTTCTTTTTTTTGAGACGGAGTCTCACTCTGTCGCCCAGGCCGGAGTGCAGTGGCCGGATCTCAGCTCACTGCAAGCTCCGCCTCCCGGGCTCACGCCATTCTCCTGCCTCAGCCTCCCGAGTAGCTGGGACTACAGGCGCCCGCCGCCTCGCCCGGCTAGTTTTTTGTATTTTTTTAGTAGAGACGGGGTTTCACCGGGTTAGCCAGGATGGTCTCGATCTCCTGAACTCGTGATCCGCCCATCTCGGCCTCCCAAAGTGCTGAGATTACAGGCTTGAGCCACCGCGCCCGGCCTTTGGCTCCATTTTTTCTCCCTCCTTATACAGTATGCAAGCTGTAACATAATACTAAATATAATAGGTTGAAAGAGCTGCAGTGAACTGTCTCTTAGGATGAGCCTAGCCTCTCATTTCATCTTCTATTTTGTGAGTGTGTGTGTGTGTGTGTGAGAGAGAGATGGAGTTTTGCTTTTGTCTCCCAGTCTGGAGTGTAATGGTGTGATCTCATCTCACCACAACCTCCGCCTCCCAGGTTCAAGCGATTTTCCAGCCTCAGCCTCCTGAGTAGCTGGGATTACAGGCATGCGTCACTATGCCCGGCTAATTTTTTGTCTTTTTAGTAGAAACGGGGTTTCTTCATGTTGATCAGGCTGGTCTTGAATTCCGAACCTCGGGATTCACCCGCCTCGGCCTCTCAAAGTGCTGGGATTACAGGCGTGAGCCACTGCACTCAGCCTCCCATTGCATTTTCTAGATGTTACGTGGAGGTTAATTATCCCTGCATCTTGTTTCATGATATTGTTGGGTGACATAGCGACTTCAGGCTCATATGCCATTTTCTGGAAGCCTTATAGGAGACTTTGTGAGCTCTCACTTACTTTGGAGGTGGTCTGTCTGAAACCCAGTCCAATTGCCATTCAGTTGAATTGATTCTGAAATATTTCTAAAGATTTGACGTTTGTGGGAGGCTGGGCATAGTGGGAGGCCACTTTCACCTCAGTCCTAGCACTTTGAGAGTCCAAGGTGGGAGAATTGCTTCAGACCAGGAGTTTGAGACCAGCTTGGGCAACATAGCAAGACCTTGTCTCTACAAACAATTAAAAAATTAGAGCTGGTCATGGTGACTCGTGCCTGTAATCCTAGCACTTTGGGAGGCCAGGGTGGGCGGATCATGAGGTCAGGAGTTCTAGACCTGCCTGGTCAATATAGTGAAACCCCATCTCTACTAAAAATACAAAAATTAGCCGAGCGTGGTGGCATGCGCCTGTAGTCCCAGCTACTTGGGAGGCTAAGGCAGAAGAATTGCTTGAACCCGGGAGGCAGAGGTTGCAGTGAGCCGAGATTGCCCCTCTGCACTTCAGGCTGGGTGACAGCGCCAGATTCCATCTCTAAATACATAAATAAATAAATAAGCAAGCAAGCAAGCAAGCAAGCTGGTCGTAGTGGCTGGCGCCTGTAGTCCTAGCTATTCTGGGGAGGCTGGGGCAGGATTGCTTGAGCCTAAGAGTTTGAGATTGTAGTGAGCTATGATCATGTCACTGCACTCCAACCTAAACAACAGAGACCCTGTCTCTAAACAATAATTAAAAAAAAATTTTTTTGAAGTTTATGAATGTTATTATTTTTTAATTTTTATTTTTTTTTGGAGACAGTGTCTTGCTCTGTCACCCAGGCTGGAGTGCAGTGGTGCCTTCATAGTTCACTGCATACTTGAACTCCTTGAACTCAAGTGATTTATCACCTCAGACTCCCCGGTAGCTAGGATTACAGGCACACACCATGGCACTCAGCTAGGTTTTAAATTTTTTGTAGAGACAGAGTCTTGCTTTATTGCCCAGGCTGGTCTTGAACATCTGGGTTCAAGTGATCCTCCTGCCATGGCCTTCCAAAGTGCTGGGATTACAGGTGTGAGCCACAGTGCCCAACTCACTTTATTATCTTTAGTCACTGGATATTAAGGATGGGCCAGAGGCCAGCATTTACTCTCCCATGTTCACATCTACCATGGCAGCCTATAGGAATGGGTTCCTGAAATATATACCATCTTCTATACAGATTCTTCAGTAGCTGCAGGCCCTTGAAACATTCTGCAGGGTTTGAGGATATAGCCATTACTTAAAGGTAACTTCTGTAGCCATTGGCCTATGACTAATTTGTGGTTAAGACATAAGTTGAAGGCTGGGTGTGGTGGCTCACGCCTGCAATCCTAGCACTTTGGGAGGCCGAGGCGGACAGATCACTTGAGGTCAGGAGTTCAAGACCAGCCTGGCCAACATGGTGAAACCTCATCTCTACTAAAAATACAAAAATTGGCCGGGTGTGTTGGTGCATGCCTGTAATCCCAACTGCTCAGGAGGCTGAGGCAGGAGAATCACTTGAACCTGGCAGGCGGAGGTTGCAGTGAGCCGAGATTGTGCCACTGCATTCCAGCCTGGGAAACAGCGAGGCTCTGTTTCAAAAAAAAAAAAAAAAAAAAAAAAAGACATAGGTTGATTGGAGGTTTTGGGGGATCTCCAAGGGTTACACAGGGATTCTTATTGGTCCAAATCCTATAATAAATAACAACCTTGGATTGCTGGTAAGAAGGATGATTTTTACATTACTTAATTAGCAAGATGTATGATTACTAGTTGTGGAGTGTGTGTGTGTGTGTGTGTGTGTGTGTGTGTGTGTGTGTGGGGTGGTCTTTAGAATTTGCTAAAGGGTATTAGGACAGAGGAGAAGGATGTTTGTGATTAGGCCATTATATGATTATGAATGAGCCAGGATAGATAAGTAAATATCTTTTGTACTTGAAGATGCTGCCAATGCTATTACTTCTTACTGATCTGGGTAGGACTGAAAAGACCAAGTTGTAAAACCTGCAGTCTTTCCTATCTTAAATGACTTGCTGTTGTTTTAAGGCTACCCTCTGTAGTTGAGCAGTACTTTTCCTTACATTATCCACTTGGTCTCTGATCATAGCATGTCAG